AATGATTAAGAAATAAACTGCAAAACTTAATGCATTATTTTTTTCTGTCTTGTTCCTGTTTCCAAAATGCTGACAGAGAAAATAAGGGCAGGAAAAAGGGTCTTTGAGGTGATGGAGTCAAATGAAAATACAGTGCTAGAAGCACTAGCCTGGAGCCAGGAATAATCAATCAAATGGCCTATAACACAACCAGATAAAAATACCTCTTTGGTTATGTGGGCTGTGCAGTGCAGTCAGCAAATTGGAGAAAAACTTAAGGAAGGAACATTTCCAGGAGGCACATGAAAAGACCTTTGAAGTTCAGATAGGACTAATGGATCAAATGAAGCATGAATAAAGGAGCACACTGCTAATGTTGCTGCACAGTGCTGAGATCAACACTCTTCTCAATGACAGCTCAGAGTATGGGCATGGGAGCACTTTGAAGCACAAAGACTTCTCTGACTGTTACCTGTGCAGAGCCACTTTCATGCTCATTTTCCTGGCTCCCTTAACATTTAAGATTCCTTTGCACCAAAGGAGTTTGAGCTCAAGCACCTGCCACAGTACTCTTGAGCCAAGATCTCCAGCATGCCATTGCTGGGTGCAGCTGCTCGAGAGGGTGAACTGTGCTGCAGGGGAACTGAAGGGTGTGCACAGCCCCTGCTGGCTGAGAAACTGAAAAATTCTTGCAGTGCTCTTCTAAATCTGAAAGTTCTAAACCCCTGGAAATGTTCCAGTTTGTAATTTGTCTAATCCACAGACTCCCAGCTCAGTATCCAAGCCTTTTCACCATCCTTTACACAACAAAAAGAGCAACTGATCCTCCAGTTCCCTCTCCCTGAGATTCCCATGGCTCTTTCCAAAGATCTGTGTGTGACATACAAGCTCTCTGGCGCAACACTGATAGCAAGGTGTCAGCACAGCTGAGGTGGGTTTGATTTGGGGTGACTTTGCCCTGAGTGGCTCAGCTGCTCTATCTCCCAGGTCCCAGAAATCCCTGTACTCAGCCAGCATGTCACCTTGAATCACACAGCTCTGAAACGCTGCGGGCTCAGTGCAAGGGCTTGAATTGTGTTCTTCTCAGTTGAGCTTCTTTTGTTCTCCTTCACTTGCACAAAAATCTGAAGTGACAAATACCAGGGAGAGAGGAAAGTCACTTTGAGTGAGTATGCAGATGTAATGTCCACAAAGAAGTCCTCCACACTTCACTGCCATTCAGATGTCACCTTGCAGCAGAGACTGTGTGACCAAAGAATTACGTTCAGAACTGTAAACCATACTGAGATCTGGCGGTGCGTGGTTAACACTGCCTTAGAGGACACTGTGCAAAGGCCCTGTCTGCAGCGTGTCTGCAGAACCGTGTTACAAAACTCAGCATTTCCCTTGTGAGAGTCGTAGCTGGATGCTGTGGCTGAGGGTGGCTCCCGAGCCCTTGCGGTGCCAGCCAAAGCTGTGGAGGGGAGTGGCAGCCCCCACTCTCCTGCTGCTTAGTACCAACCTCTCTTTTGAGGCTGATTACTGGCAGACTGTCACTACTCTCGTTGCCTTCCCTTCCTGAAGGAAAATGAATGACCACGATGCCAGCCACAGCGTGCCAGGGCCGCCTGACGCTGAGGGAAGGGGAGCTCTGTAACCCCTGTCCCAACTCCGGCCGTGCCTCCCCGCCCTGCCCCGGCTGCGGGGGGCTCTCCTGGGGTCCTCCGGCACTCTGCGGTCCTCGCCCCGGGGGAGAGCGGCGTCCCGC